TGTCTCTCTCTCTCTGTCTCTCTCTGTCTCTCTGTCTCTCTGTCTCTCTGTCTCTCTGTCTCTCTGTCTCTCTCTCTCTCTCTCTCTCTCTCTCTCTCTCTATGGTGACATTGGTTAACAAAGCGTGTGACTTTTGAACACAGAGCAAGGGTGGAGGTTTTATATACTCTAAAATATTTCATTGAATGGCTCCAGATTATTTCGTGGGACTTGACTGTCATTTTATCTTTATTTCACGAACAATAAAGCAATCTTATTTGAATAGAATAGTTATTCAAAGTCTCTTTTGGATACTGTGTTTTTTAAAGCATCTGAAGTCCAAGGAGCCATTCATGAGAAAAATGTACATAAATAGTTTTGCTTGGTCTCAGACTCTTTGTGGACCTGCTTCAGAATACCTAGTAGAGAGGTTTACCCTTCAGAGTATATACACACTGCCATTGGTTGAATCCTTAGGTTTTAAAATTGTATTATATGGCACTTTTCTTTTCACCGATATTTGTTATAGTGGGATATATTCCTGTATTCCTCCTTAGGGGTTTAACCTTTAAAATATTTTTCTGTTTCTAAAACAACATCCAGGAGGGAAGCTACTTGTTTGTATATATATATTTTTTCTCTTTGTAATGTTTATTAACCATTTGCTATCTTTGAGATAATTTAAAACTTATGAAGTATCTATCCAACAGTTGAAACTATTGTCAAATCTGTCACATAATTCTAATTCAATACTTACAGTAACTTTATGATGTAAGTAGTAGTATTCCCATCTTACCAATGAGGAAACTGGAGGCTGAGAGGTTCAGCAACATGCCTAACACCATTATTAAGCTAATTGGTCAAGATTGGAAACCCAGGTTTGCCTCCTTCTACTGGCCATGTCTTTTAGAAACTCATTTGAAAAACAGATATCTGCCTTAATCATAGCAAAGTGTACCTTTAATACTGTGAAAAACCGAACAAAGTGAAAATATACACACACAAACATAATCTTAAAGGAAGTTAAGATGAAAAAGAAAATACACCTACTGTCCTGCTGCTCTGACAAATCGGAGCAGGACTTTACTGCGTCTTTTCATGGCTCAGTATTAAATCGATACCCTGGCAGGATGAGGGGGGAAAAAACTGCTGCGAAAGGAGGCACAGAGAAGTTTGGGGAGGTAGCTGACAGCAGGATAAGTCCACTTAGAGTGTGGGGCTCCAACCCGGCTTGTTCCTGGCTTTGGCTCAGGAGTCTCTTAAGCATCTATTTGTTGATTAATCCTGAAATAAAAATCCCACTGGAAAAGAGTGGACCCACGCAAGTTCTTTTTTTATTTGGCCGGAGAGAGACCTCTAATCTGTGACATCCATCCCATTATGTTTGGGTTGAATGCTGGAGGTTGTAGGAAAGAGTTTAAGAATGCTTGGGATGAATGAATCTGAACTCTGAGCAAAGGGACCGAAAAATAAGACTGGAGGGAAAACTGAAGAAAGGAAGAAAGGAAGAAAGGAAATAGAGGGGGCTGTATTCAGCCCCTGGCAGCAACTCCTGAAAGAGGAAAAAGGGGAGGAGAGGAGCTAAATTATCTTGAAGGCCAAGCTGTGTGTGTCTTTTGTTGCCTGAACTAGTCTTATTGAATGAAGGTAGACTTTAGTAATTTCTTTGAAATAATAGCATACTTTTGCTATTAATAAAAATCTCACCTAATGATTTTTATTTTGAGGTGACATCTGAACCTTGTGCTCTAAAGGCAGATTTAAGAAGGCAGAATATTCAAGTACGGCTGTCTGAGGACGGTCTGAGTTACATGTTACTGTGGTTTTAAGGGTCAAGGATCTAGCCTAGAATGAACACAGCACTGGAAATCACAACGTAATGATGTGATGCATGTCCCGATGTGTTCTGTTGCTTCGGGCAAGTTGTGTGGGCTGTTATCTCCTGAGAAATTCTTGTAAATAGTATTAGTAATCCTTTCTAAGTAGGTTAGAAGAATTAATTTATCTCCAAAGCATTTTGAAATTCTTAGATGAAAGGCTCTGTATGGAGCAAATTATTATCAGGCTGTGTTCCCTTCTCTGAGCCAGGAGAAAACAGGCACCTTAGGGGTGGGATGGTTGGCTTATCCTCTGGAGTTCTTTTATAGATAGCTTTTATTGAATTTGAAGTGAATATCAGAAGCTCCTAAGAATATGATTAACTATAAAAGCAAACTCTTTTGAATTTGGGACTTGGAATTAACTGTGTTTTCATCTAAAATTTAAAACAGGTTTGAATATTAGATTGTAATTGGCCAGACTTGGAGGGGGAGGGCACTGATATGCCCCTTTGATGATTCTGGGTCCTGACTTTTTCTCTTACTTTTTATTTCGGAGAAAGGATAAGGCTGACTTTCTGAAAAGCAGTCAACTTTTATTTTCATTGTGTAGACTCTCTCAAACTAATCTGTGAAATTATTCTTTTACTGCCAAATAACTTGCAATATGTGCTTGAACAAATTTTTAATCTGTGTTCAATTATACATTCCAATGTGTGTACTCAAATGCATCCATGTGAAAACAGCTTTGCTTAAAAGATTTAAAACCAAGTTTTTGCTTTAGAGAAGCTAACAGTCTAATACGGCAGGATAATATATAAGGGCAAATAACCATAATGTGTGGTCTTTTTAAAAAATGCGTATTTCTTCCTGAATTACCCCTACTTAAAGAAATAATGGTGGACAATAGTAATATAAAAGTGTTGGAGTAATTTATTCAGTTTTCCTGTTCATGTATTTGCAAGAAACTTTCTGTTAATCTCAAAGAAAAATGAACCAGTCTAGATGCATAGGAAGGAAGGTAGGGCTAACTTACTTAATGGTGCCTTGAAACCACAGTTGACAGGTGAAGTATGATGTGTTCTCTCCTTACTTCCTTTCCGCTCTCCTCCATTCCTCCCCCATTCCCCCACCCCTTTAAAAGGAGGCACAGAGAAGTTTGGGGAGGTAGCTGACAGCAGGATAAGTCCACCTGTTAGAGCATGGGACTCAGACCCGGTTTGTTCCTATCCACCTGTTGCAGTGGTTAAAAGCTTTTGGTTGAGTGGGTTGAGAGTGCATATTCTCTTTAAAAACGGTATATTCCTTTCCAGTGATACCTACACTTTGTTGCTTGTGTCACTGTTGAACTGAGCCCTCTTTCCAACTGTACCAGAATTCCCAATGGACTAGTGGGCGAATTTTGCAACTAATCACCCGATTTACAGCATACGCTTTCCATAGCCTTGTAACAGATTATGTTTAAAATCTTAATAGCCTTTGCTCACCTTTTAGGGTTCATATTTATTATCCATTCAGTTTATGTCCTTTAGCCTTTGGCAAGCTTACAAATAAACAGCTCTTTTGTAGAGATTGTACCCACTTTATTCTTCCTCCCTTGGGTGGTGGAGAACCAAAGTTCGCCAGAGTAATACGTCTCCCTCCCTCATTTGGGTAGGTTGGAAGGGATTGGGTTTTGAAGGCCGGAGAAGGTAATTGAAGTAATTTGCATTTGTAAAATGAAGAATTGAGTTCCAAACTACTACCTAGCAAATGAACTCTTAGAGTTTACTGCCTATTTGTAATGGAAGTTGTGTTTGTCAAAATCCTTGGCCATACTGGCAGTTTATAATCTAGCCAGATCTAGTCCCCTCTCCCCTTCAAAAAAAAAAAGCCCCATCTTTTAGTCATAGTAAGAAAGAAAAATGAAGGTCGACCTAACTGCAATATGTGACAGCAAATGTTTTAAAGTGCAGGACCTTTAATTCCTTCACAATTTTGTCATAGATTGTCCAGGTGTTTCTTTGAAAGCTAGATGATACTGTCAGTAAATGCTAAAACAACAGCTGTCACTTAAACGGGCACTATTTCAGTGTGGGGCTGGGACCCATTATTGCGTGCGTGTTATGTTCCGCGGACCTGCTTGCGAACGCGTGGGGCCGGGCTCCGCGGGGCGTGGCCACCGGGAGGCGGATCGAGCTGGGGGCGGGGCCTCCGAGCCCTGTTGCCAGTGCGCATGGGCGGACGTCTTCCTCCGCCCCGACTGACCCCTTCAATTTCCGCCGTTGTCCGAATCGTTGCGAAAGCCGTTAGCCGAACGATACCCGAGCTCCTCCAGTAACCGTCATGTCCGATGAAAAAGATTCCCTGAGGAGGGGCGTGGAGAAAGGAGAAGAGCCGACGGTTACCATCACCAGTCGTGCGTACTCCGTGAAGCAGGCAGAGGAGGCGGAACCGATGAAGGTGGAAGTGGCGGTGGGGGCTGCCGACTGCGCTGACGACCTCGACTGTGGGGAGGCCGACATCGACCCGCATCTCCTAGGGCTGGAGGCCGACGAGGAGAAGTGCCGGAGTATCCGCAGGCAGTACCGGCAGCTCATCAGTACCGTCCAGCAGAACCGTGAAGACATAGTGAACACAGCAAGCGACTCGTTAAGCGAGGCTCTTGAAGAAGCCAATGTCCTGTTTGACGAAGTGAGCCGAACAAGAGAAGCAGCCCTCGATGCCCAGTTTCTTGTTTTGGCTTCTGATTTGGGTAAAGAAAAAGCAAAGCAGCTAAACTGTGATATGAGTTATTTTAATCAAGTAGCATTTTGTGACTTTCTATGTATATTTGTTGGTCTAAACTGGATGGAAGGTGATGAACATAATGAGTTGAGTGGTTTTGATGATAATATAGCCCTTTCCTTCTGGGAGACAGTACAGAAAGAAGCAACATCCTGGATATTGCAAGCTGAAACATTCCACTTTGTTTTTGGTTCATTCAAGTCAGAGTCTTCTGCACGAAAGCGCCGACGTGACCGGAAAAAAGCACACAAAATGGAAGAAAATAGGGATATGCCTATAAAGCTGAGGAAGTTGGACCTGAGTAGTAATCAAGAAGCGACAGAAAAAGAAGTAGAAAGAATCTTGGGATTGTTGCAAACGTACTTTCGAAAGTATCCTGATACTCCCGTCTCCTATTTTGAGTTTGTGATTGATCCAAATTCTTTTTCTCGTACTGTGGAGAATATATTTTATGTTTCTTTCATTATAAGGGATGGTTTTGCAAGAATAAGGCTTGACCAAGACAGGCTGCCAATATTAGAGCCAATTAATATTAACCAAATGGGTGAGGGAAATGATCCCAGTTCCTATGGCAGAAGACAAGGAGTTATATCTTTGAGTTTACAGGACTGGAGAAATATTGTGGCAACTTTTGAAATCTCAGAGGCTATGATCACAAACTCATACTAAATATTTTGTTAGTATAGGATGCATTTTGTGGCTTTTCTAAAGTAAACAGAAGCACATACTGTATTTCTTACGAAGTGAAAAAGTATTTTCAGGAACATCAAATTGTTTTATGTGCAATGTAATTTTCTTGGTAGTTGACAAGTTTGTAATGATCTTCGGTTATTAAAAACATTCTCTGGCGTATTCATGGGGAAATTTTTTTGAATGTCCTTTAAGACGCTTTATTAATAAAAATCAGTTACGATGCTCTGTGATACTGTGTTCCTGTGTTACAGGGAACCAGTGGAATTCCATATGGGGCTCCTAACCAGGTTGGGGAAAATTGATGAAAAAAATGGTAAAGGAAGGCTATCCCTAGGGCAGTGAATATGCAGCGTTAATACTATAAAAGAATTTGGATACCTTTCTTCATTGCGAAGAGGACTCAGTAAGATGAATGAGTGGGTATCCATATTCTAAATTTCTCCTGTGATTAGATTAGACTCAACAAAAGTAGAGTTTCTTTACTATGATAGTTGAGGCATCTTTCTCCTGTGATTAGATTAGACTCAACAAAAGTAGTTTCTTTACTACGATAGTTGAGGCATCAATTAAGTGCTTAAAGGTGAGCGGGAATTGGTCAAAGATAGGAAAGGTATTCTAGGTAGGGGAAGTGGAGGCCAAATGTATGGGATTGTGAGAAGTTATGGCACCAGAGAACCATAAAAATTTTTTTTGAAAACTATTCCATTTGAATGTTAAACTGGGCAAGAAATCGAATTACCTTGTCAGTATCCTCAGAGGTAGAAGATATTTTTGTCAAATTATTTCAAATGCAAAATCCACAGCCAGTTATAGTTTTTATTTAATTGGTTAATTCTCTAGTTTCTCTTGGTAATTTCTGCCAGTACAGAGTATCTTTCAGAATCAGTGATGTTTCATTATGTAACAACCTTGAATATTTGTTCCCAGTTCAATTTTGCATTTCTTAATAGGGTTTGAAATGCCTGCAAACCGTCCCTGTTTAAACTGAAATATAAGATTAATTTATTCAAAAGTTCTTCACTTCAGATAAAGCTGTAAATGCTTTTTTAAAAATTACCTGCAATTGTTTAAAAAAAAAAATAGCCTTATTGGGTGTTATTATTGAAAATTTGAGTTTTGAAAAAACAGTTTTTGAATGCGCAGTGAGGAATCCTATAAGCTTCCCGATCCCTGTAGGAATTTAATCTTTGGTAGTGGCGGATTTTGCCATTAAGCATTATTTGGCAGGTGGATAAATGTTTTGCATAGCAGTAACGATAAACTTTCCTACTAAGTCTAGTGTGAAGTGGGGAAAGGAAATCCAGACTGAATGAATGACATCGAGATTGAGTGGACTGATCCTACATGTGTTTAGTGGGGGGAGGGTTCTTCAGTAATAGTGGCTGTTTTTAGCAAAAAATAGAAATTTCTCATGAAACTCGGCCAATTATTTTCTAAAGTAGCCATTCCTTCCCCTTTTTCATTTGAAGGAATGCTGATTCTTCCCTGTGTCTACCACCCTTTGATTTAGCAACCATGAAAGCATCTTTTGGCCTCCCTGATTCTCACATGAGTTCCTTGGGTTTTCCAGAGATTTGCTGTTCAAGGAAAAAATACTCTCAGTGAGAGCAAAAAGATGTTGCCTTAGTTCTTTAGTCCTCACCAGATGTGCCTTGTTCAATGTCTAGTGTCTTTACTAGGAGTATGTGAGACTCAGTGACAGCCATGTTAATTTACTCAGCAACTATGCCTACTGTGCCAAGCGCTGCCCTAGGCCCTGGGGAAAATGGGTAGAAAATGACCCAACTCTCATGAAATTTATATTTCAATGGATGTATTACTTTCCTATTGCTGCTATAACAAATTACCATTTAATGGCTTAAAAGGAACAAATTTGTTACCTTTTACAGTTCTTCGGTTTGGATGGCCAAAATCTTTTCTCTGGGCTAAAATTAAGATGTTGACAGAGCTAATTCCTGCTAAGGCTCTGCGGGGAGAATCTGTTTTCTTGCCTTTTCCGTTTTTGGAGGCTGCCTGTGTTCCTTGATTCACAGTGTCTTCCTCCATTTTCAGAGCTGACTGTGGAGCCTCTTCTGTCTTTACATTTACTACTGTAATGAAGTCTCCCTCTGCTTCTCTCATATCAGGATACTTGTGATGAAGTGGGGCCTGCTGGGATGATTCTGGAAAATCCCTCGATCACCAGATCCTTAAATCACATCTCTAAAGTCCCTTTTACAAGTGGTGTATTCAAAGGTTCGAAGGATTCGGACCTCAGTGTTGGGGACCACTGTTCAGCCTATCTCGGAGGGGGAGACAACAGTATTGCTGTTCATGATGGTTGCTCTGAGAAAAAAACTGCTCGGATAATGGTGGAGATGCCACCTCAGGGTGGTAAGGGAAGACCCCTGGAAGGAGGCATTTGAATGGGATCTGTTATAATTTGCCAGAATACTTGCTGCAAAGTAAATGTTAAATATTACCTTGGTTCTAGATACTTTAGGTGCATAATAGCCAAAGATCTAGATAATTAATTGTTCATGGAGAGTCAACTTCCCTGCTCCT